TACAGTACAGATAAGTGATATTATTATCTACTGAGGTCCATCACAGCGTAAATAAAAAAAAGTAAGTATGGACCTTAGTTAAGATAGTGTGTGTGTGTGTGTGTGTGAGTGTGTGTGTGTGTGTGTGGTTCAGGTATACCCTATGTTATGGGGACAAAATGTTCCCACAAACATATCAATATCCAAATTCCTTGTCCTTGCGGGGACAGTTTTTGGTCCCCATGAGGAAACAAGCTTATAAATCATACAGAATGAAGTTTTTTGAAAATCTAAAAATGCAGAGAGTTTCCTAAAGGGGTAGGTTTAGGTAGGGTTGGGGTAGGGCGATGGAAAATACAGTTTGTACAGTATAAAAACCATTACGCCTATGGAATGTCCCCATAAAACATGGAAACCTAACATGTGTGTGTGGGGGGGTTGTTTTGCTATAGTTGTGAAGACCAAATGTCCCCACAAGGATAGTAAAACCTGACATTTTTGACTTTGTGAGGACATTCCTCACAAGGGAAATAAATAATTAAAAATACTAAATGAAGATTATTTTAAAATGTAAAAATTCTGTGAGGGTAGGTTTAGGGTTAGGGTGAGGGGATAGAAAATATTGTAAGGTCAGTATAAAAACAATAGATGTCTATGAAAGTCCTCAAGTATAGTAAAACAAACGTGTGTGTGTGTGTGTGTGTGTGTGTGTGTGTGTGTACCTGGTATTTATGACATTATGGGGACCAAATGTCCCCACAAGGATAGTAATACTAGTAAATTTTTTTACCTTGTGGGGACATTTTTGAGGTCCCCATGAGGAAACAAGCTTATAAATCATACAGAATGAAGTTTTTTGAAAATCTAAAAATGCAGAGAGTTTCCTAAAGGGGTAGGTTTAGGTAGGGTTGGGGTAGGGCGATGGAAAATACAGTTTGTACAGTATAAAAACCATTACGCCTATGGAATGTCCCCATAAAACATGGAAACCTAACATGTGTGTGTGGGGGGGTTGTTTTGCTATAGTTGTGAAGACCAAATGTCCCCACAAGGATAGTAAAACCTGACATTTTTGACTTTGTGAGGACATTCCTCACAAGGGAAATAAATAATTAAAAATACTAAATGAAGATTATTTTAAAATGTAAAAATTCTGTGAGGGTACACTGTAAAAAATGACAGTCAATTTAACGGTAAAAGACTGTAAAAATGCTACAGTAAATACCTGTTAAATGGTTAACGGTAAATTTATATACACTTCGATGCACAAAAATGAGAAGGGAGAAGGACATTTTTGTCTCAAAGGTTCACTTTGAATTTTATCTGGATGTTATTTTGCCTTGATAACGTAGCAGTAAAATTCATGATTATAGCTGATAAGATTGTCTTTTGATACAAAGTTATTTCAACTTTTGTGTTGTCTCTTTGTGTGGTATTTGGTAGACACACACATTTGTAAATATGCAATATTAGTATTATTATTAATTATATATATTTTTAGTTTAAAGCGGATTAAATCTCATTAACATCTCAAGTGAATCGTGAGGATCATGTTGTCATAAACAGCAAAGTTCCCTGCAGTCACCAGTGCATGTTCACTTCGCTATCAACAGTGTGGGAGGCTCTTGAAGGAATTAAGTTGTTTGAGATGAGCCGACGATAAGCTTTGCCTTCCTGCCCTTTCAAGGATGGAAAAAGGGAATGGGTTGATAGTCTCTGACAGAACGCTGCTAAACAATAAAAATACAGTTTGCCATTAGGAACTATGTATATATAACATTCTCTAAAAACTGCTCAGCAATGAATGTTTACATTATAGTGGTTGACCAGTATGGGTTTTTCAATGGCCATTTCTAACAAATATGACAGCAGAAAATGTAGTGTTCATCAACACAGTAGTCATAAGGTTTTGGACACACTATATGACTTTTGTTTATCATCTAAGTGGGTTTTGTTGTTGGCTGATTCCAGTTGTTAAAATGACTGGCTAACATATCAGTTAATCATCTGAAGCCTTTAAGAGTTACATTGTAACTCACACACAAGTAGTTTCTCCATACAAAACAGACAGAAAAAAAAAGCAGCTTCCTAAGAATTCTCCACATCTGTTGGCTTGTTCCAGCCCCATCAGGAGTGTATCTAAAAGAGACCGTGTAGCCCAATATAGACTCTTCTGGCCTGGGCCACCCTTCAAGTGGTTACCACAGCCCTTCACTATAGCAATTACACATGCAGTTCTGTCCGGGTGTGGCAGTGGGACTGAAACATAGTTGCCTATTTCCCAAACTTCTACAATCTGGGTTTCATCTTTCCACGGCCCTATGTGAAGGTGGCAGACGCATGGGGTGGGAGCTACCTTTCTGAGGACTATGGTCTTTAGGGGTGGGACCGAAGTAAAAGGACAAGAGTGGTTTATGTTTAATCATAAGATTATAGAGGAGATTGTGATATATGTAATTTGAGCTCACATAATTGGATAGCTAGTGAAACGTCTAACTAGTAACTAGAAACCAGTAACTTAAATTATAAGACATTTTGTAAATTGGGGGCCCCGGGCAAAATATAGGATTGGGGCCTATTTGCCCACATTTACCTAGATCAACCTAGAGGTTCCTTTTGTTGTTGTTGTGATGCTTGCTGCTGCACAATGGTGCCCCATAGTTGTGTCCAATGTTTCTACATTTTTCATGTACTGTACATGCTATAATGGCTTTCTTTCATGTTGCAGACCACAAAATAGCAATTGATTTTCATTTGAGATACAGGTTTTCACAAAAACACAATAAATTCTAAAATGATAAACCTCACAATTGATCCTTTAAAACTTTTTTTTTTAAGAAAAGGGATGAGTCAGAAGTATAAATTGTTATATTAATTTAAAACGGGGTTATGTGGTGGATTTTCGCATTGGTCTGAACAAAAATTGCAGACGGGATTATTGAAAATGAACATTCATGCTCTGCCAGCAGTTTCCCCGGTAACGGCTGTATAAGTCAAGTCAAGTCAAGTCACCTTTATTTATATAGCACTTTTAACAATACAGATTGTGTCAAAGCAACTGTACAGCAATAATTAGGAAAATAGTGTGTCAATAATGCAAAATGACAATAGTAAACACTAATTTTTCAGTTAAAAGCAGTTCATCATTGAATTCAGTGATGTCATCATCAGTTCAGTTTAAATAGTATCTTTGCAATCATTTGCAATCAAGTCAACGATATCGCTGGAAATGAAGTGTCCCCAACTAAGCAAGTATAAACAAAGCAGCGCTGCGCTCATAAACGCTGCTTTATCAGATAAAATGAAAACCATCGAAACTTTTCTGAAGACATTCTGTTCCCTTCAGAGATTCATTCATATAAAACTTGAATTAGTGAGAATGAGAAAATTGTGAAAAAATATAGCCGATATTGATGAGGAAAGTTCACTGATGAGTTATCAACGTAAGCCTTTAAGTGCCTGGGCTCATACACTCTCCAAAGAAACTCCTTTAAATGTTCTCATCACAGAAACGCCTCTAAATGCCCAACATAACTGAACATTAAACACTAACATGTTTTTTCTTTACTGAAAAACACTTGCTTAAAAAATGCTTAAAAAATAATAATAAATCCCTTACTCTTACCTAATGCAGTTCCTTGCGAAGCAACTACAGACTGCCCAAAAAGTTGTCAACAAATGATTCATGTAGGTTTAACACAAATTAATTAAGCAAACCTCAAAAAAAAAAAAAAAAAAGTAGTGTACACAATAAAATTAAGCTGGTGCAAAATGTTCACAAATCATACTTCAGCTTGATTAAACTGAACAAAGAGACAAAAAAAATCGTTTTTGGAGTGTAGAAATGGTGTATAAGGCATGTAAGGATGTAAATAATTGTGCATGTGTATATCCTTGGCCTTTCATCCTTGATAAAATAAATAAACAAAACAAGTAATCAATCACAAACAAACAAATAATTCATAATATGTAAAATTCATGAAAATTGAACATAATTCATTACTGTGTAATGCAAGGGGAAGTATCAAGGTGGTTTCTGTTATAGTGATGTGCATTTCAAAAATGTTTCGATACAGTAGGTGACAAACAAACAAACACAATAAATAAATAAAACAAGCAAGCAAACAAACAAACAAACATAAATGAATTTTTGAATGAATGAATATTTTATTTTCATAAATGAAAAACCACACACAGGTTTGTTTTTGTGAAAAGTGGGGACTCTCCATAGGCGTAAACGCACACACACACACACACACACATATAAAGTGAACTTTTTGTATAACCTGAGGCTCAAGTTTCCTGCACAGCTCCTGCAGTGGCTGCACAACCTTCTTATTGAGCTCGTGCTTCCACCTATCGGCGAAACTTCATGCAGCTTTAAAACGGAGCGTGGGTTACTCACACTTGTGGTTCTGATTTACAGTAAACTGATAAATCTGTTAGTTATGGCCACAAGATGAACATGTTTCCTTTCATTCTTATAGTAAATCAACTGAATTTTCTAAATACAAAGTGAGTGTATAATATTTTAAACGGAAAAACATATGTTGCGATTATATATTGCTATTATATTCCTAGTATTCATGCATTTCAGATGCAATTAGATTTTCTTTAGTGACCTGCTTAATTGTTGTCGTTGTTGTTTTATTCTAAAAGACAAAAGGGGGCCATATTAGACGGATCTGTTTGTGTTATTGTGCTCTAATGAAGAAGTTGTTTGGCTTATTGTGCTCCTATGACGAGTTTTGTCATCAGACGTAAGTGCGCCTGTTATGACATCACGAGTAGTCCGGCGACATTCCGCAGCGTCAGCGTCAAGAGAAGCCAGCGATAGCTGTTCAGTTCCTCGTCGCAGCACGGAAGTCTGTTTGAGCTTCAGATGATTCTTTTGTGTGGACCCTTTGGCTTGTAATGGCGAGTGATGAAAGATTCATCTAAACTGACCAGTGGCTGCGCTCTCGTGTGAACCCAGCGCAGCTGTCGCACACCTGGACTGAAGCCCTGCAGGTCTGAAGAGGATGACGAGAAAAATGAGCCACCGGAGGCAGGTGAGAGGAACTTCAGCCGGCTTGCCTAACATCACCGTCAGTGTCACTGATTAGTGTTTGCCTCTTGCGGTTAACTGTTTCTTAGTGCTTCACTAAAAGCATGCATACTGATAACTGAGAGCCAACAGACTTTATAGTTTACAGCCAGATGTTTGTCTGATTCAAAGATGAAGTGCCTGCATGAATTATGTCTGACTAAAATATGTAAATATACATATTTAATGTGCCTGCCAATTGACTTTTATATATAGCCTAGTTATAACCACAGAGTTATAACTAAAGAATGACCTCAAGTTTTCTGTTTTGCTTTGTGAGGAGGATGAAAAGGATGAAAAGATTACAGAAATCTTTTTTTGACACAAATCAATGCGAGCAAGGCAGTATTAATTGTGTTGCATACAATGAGTTTCGCTCTGAGCTCTGAGGTCTTCAACAGGGTGATTTAGAGGAACACCGGCAGATAAAGTTTGATTATAGATAAAGATAAAGCAAATTTCATCCTGATTGAGGTGTGTTGTGAATGTAAGGGAAGTAACTCTGTGATACAAAACCAAACCGAGAGACTTCCACTAACCCATGTAAAGGTTGAAGATCACAAAGATAATGGTTTGATTGACAGCGTGAAACTGTCACTTAATTCAAGGTAAGTTGTCTGCAGCAGCTGTCATGGAGAAGCAGTATCTATAGACACAGTATCTGTGTTTAGGTCATGCCGAGTAACACAAAACGTTCAGTTGTCTCCCGTTACCAATCAAAACATTTGCTATTGTTTTGTGTTGCTGTGGGACGTTTACGCAGCTCTGAGCTCTTCTGACTATTTCAAGGGCCGCTTTAAGAAAACTAGCTTTGATAGCTACACATGGTGACTATCTAGAATCAGATTGTATCTAGGTATGTGAACTAGAACAGCTGTGAAAAAGCAGAAAAAAACGTAAACCCTCATGACTAGATAACTTGAGTTAGCATGAAGGTATTTCTGGCATTCACGGGCACACTCTCAGAATATATGAAAGGTTGCTTCGCCAGTTCTGCTTTCACAATGAACTTTGAGATTGATTAGTCAGGAGGATGAAAGTAGAACTTGCTGGTTTGTCAGAGCTTTCCAGAACTTTCCAAAATGTTTTCATTTTATTTCCGTTTACAGTAATGTTAGGGATGTAACGATTCACTCAACTCACGATTCGATTCGATTCACGGTTTTTTTTTTTATTGTTTTTTTTTACTAAATGAGATTTAAGACAAATTATAAATTAAATGTGTCCTTTTGTGCGTTTCCGTGGTTTCCGCTGTAAACAAAGCAGTGCTGCACTTATGAACTTTAGTATGCATTATACAGAGGCCAGATGAAAAGATACCATACCAAATACCATCTAAACTTTTCTAAAGACAGTAAGTTCCCCTCAGACATGCATTCATATAAACTCCTACCCCTAAACGAATCGCGATTTGTTTAGCATCTCAACCGATTTGAATCGTCACATATTTGAATCGATTTTCAACCGGCTCGCGGTTAATCGTTACATCCCTAAGTAATGTGCATGGAGCTGCATCTCCATGTCATTGTTTTGCTTCACAGGTCACAGCTGATTGAAAAGTAAATGAACAGGTTTGATACTGATCTACATGGCATTTCTGTGCCGAAAATAGCCGAACTCTCGTCTTACATTATACATTCTTTTTCTTGTTGCACAATATTCTTTTTTTACACTCACAGTTACTGTGTTAAGAACATGTTTCTCTTCTTGTAAATAAGGTTATTGTTCTGAACTGCTTATATTGTGTTGTTGTAGGGGAGTATCGACCTTTTGGAAACCATCGGAGTTGTAAATGAGAATGGCTTTGAAAACCCATCTATGCCACCAGTGGTAAGGCCTATAGCACATCACAGCTCATGTTGGCTTAAGTGTGAGACCACTAGTGAAAATGCTGCTATTTTTATAAATTATGATATCAGTGTAACGGCTTGAGTGGAATGAGAAATTGGAAAATATATGGCATTTGGTCTGACATACAGTAAACAAAATCTGTCCAGTGTGATTTGAGAATGTTTCAAAGACTATATTTTATGGTTCATTAAAAAGAAAGGGAAAATACAGATAGTATTTGCAGAATTCCATCATTTGCAAAATTCCAAATCCCTCTAAAAGTTAATAAACAAACAAACAAACCAGATTTTCAATGTGGTTTCACTTTTTGACCCCACTGTACGTGTTTAAATTGTTTATAGCTTATGCACACAACGGAAAGTCACTACAATGATATGAACGTTACACATTTATGTAACTGATATGGATAAGTTGAAAGATTTTTATAGTAATATAATAATTTATTAACACTGCTTTTTTTTCTTCTTCATCTTCTTTTGAACATCAGCATCCTCCTCTGACGTTCGATTATGTTCTTGTGGCGAAAATCTCAGATGATGAGAACAGCCACTTGGTCAGAAAACAGAAAGCTTTCATTGAAACTTTAAAGAAGAAATTAAATGTATATGTAAGTGAGTTTCTATTGGTCTTGAAAGTTATTGATACAGTTTGAAGTTCAATTATCAAGACTTAGCTGTGCCTAATATACCACTAGAATTATTATAGGATTATTAATATTATTATGAGTATTATAGTCCAAAACTATATAATGGCACTGCTTTATTATATTGGGAAATGGTACTAATAATTAAGCTCCAGAACTATTGTCAAATATGTATGTATGTTTTTTTTGTTTGTTTTTTTAGAAATTTAGAGATGATGATGATGATAAGGTGTTTTATTGCATCCGAGCACCAGAAAAGATTTTTGAGACATACCGGTATCTCTTGAAAGTGTCTGACGCCTGTAACTGGAGTTGTGAGCAGCAGGGTACTATACCTCAGTCAACCAGGTAATACATTTACACCAACACACTCTCAAAACACATCCAGGACATCACATAAACAGCTCTCGGATTGTGTTTGAAGGCCAAAGTTGAAGTTTTTAATAAGTGCAATCTATAAGCAGCAGCCACTTTTATTAACAATCAGCCAAATTAACAAACATGCAAGAGCACAGAAGAAACGCAACCAACTAAACACAGAGGAGAACAAAGAACAACTTAAATTGAGGGTTACGGAGAAACAAACAAGCGAGGACGGGTGAACATAATCGATTAACCAATGAGTAACCTAGAAAACAAACTAGTGGTGAGAAAATAGAAAAAAAGGAGTTTAAATCAAACACAGTAACAAGAAGCAATAAAACTAAACAAAGCATACATGTGGCAATAGAAAGTGTTGTTTAATATCACCTATAAAAACAGATTCTCTATCCAAGTCCAGTTAAACAGCTAGCAAACAAAAATGCTGCTTCACTTCCCTTAAACTTTGGTGTGAAACTCATCCTGTAGAGGAGATGTGTGCTTATACTTTTCTAAGTGATATTTAATTTTAGCTTGGTGGACAATAAAGCTGGTAAAAATCACTTACACTTAAAGGGTTAGTTCACCCAAAAATGAAAATTAGGCTGCGTTTTACTCACCCCCGAGGCATCCTAGGTGTATATGACTTTCTTCTTTCAGACGAATCCATTATTTTTTATGTTATATTAAAAATTGTCTTTGATCTTTCAAGCTGTTTAATGCCACTCAGAGGGTGTTGCATTGCTTCAGTCCAAAAGAACTTAAATAAAAAGCGCCCATCCATAATAAAAAGTGTCTCACACGGCTCCGGGGGGTGAACAAAGGCCTCCTGTAGCGAATCGATGCGTTTTTGTAAGAAAAATATCCATATTCAAAACGTAATAATCACTTTAATGTAGCTTGCGCTCACTGTTGTAAAGGGAAGCAGTTCCGGGCTGATGGCGTATTGAGTTCAGCTTTGCGCATGCTCCGCTCAGAAGTGACGAACGCGGAAACGCAGCGGAGAGATCAAAACAAAACAACGGTCACGAATTAGAAGTACAAAACGAGGATTTGTAAAAAAGAATGACAGGATTTCGATATAAGCCAAAGTGACGGATGGACCGTATAAGCAAGTCAAGTAAGCAATCATCCAAAACACTCTAGCAACAGCACAGCAATGCCCTATTCTCTGTTTATGTGATGCAGTGAAGAAAGGTGCCGTAGTCACGGTTTGCATTGTGAAACTGAGTTGTACACAAAAAAGAAGAGGCTTTGCAACAGTAGGGCTTTGATCTGAACTGTGGCTCTGTTTCAGGATTCGTGTTGTTGATTTCATTCTGCATCACACACACATTGATTCAGAGGGGGGTGAGTAACAGTTTGCTTGCTAGATTACACATTCATTGCATATTACATTATACATCACTGTATTATGTTAGGCTTTCTATGATTCATCCAGAAGTGTCGATTCCGTAATGCCTTCTCTTGCTTTACCTCTCTCTTAGGTGTTTCAGAATATCTCCCAGATCTCATGAAAAAAAATGTTTTTGAGACTCACTTTTGTTTGCATGAGGTTTGATTTGATTTGATTTCCTCTCGCTCACAGCATTTTATACACCTGCCACACAGAGTCAGATTCATTATGTGCAAATGTATTGAACTATATCCCATGGTGATAATTATACATGTGTCAACATTTTGTACTCAAAGCACTACAGGAAAAGTATCTGGTCACAAAGTGTTTCTGATTGCAAACATACAAGAAGCAGAGTTACATATGTGCAGAAACCAACCAGTTCTTACATTCTGAATACTCAGAATATTACAATTTCTTGAGGATTATGCCGTTTCACTATTAATTTTGTATCCTTTTGTTTAAAAAAAAAATTAATTTGTGCCCTTTAAATCCTAGAAAAGGGAGCAGAAAGAACTGAAGCAGAGCTGGGCTCGATGGTCTGCTTGTTTCAAAGGGCAACCCATCACTAACGTCAGGTGCTCTTTCCTTTTATTTTCTGATTTTACTCATCTCTCTATGTTATAGACTTACTCCCATTCTGGTACAAATTGAAATAAATGTATTGTGTGTGTTGTCAGAAACTACCTTGGTGAGAAGGTGGCTCTGTATTTCCTATGGCTGGGCTGGTACACATTTCTCTTGATTCCTGCTTCTGTAATTGGTCTCGTAGTGTTCCTGTATGGCCTGGCCTTTTACAGCACAAGTCCTCTCATGTGAGTAACCTAATATTAATAAACATCAGTGTTTGATGTTAAGGACATCTTTGTTGTCTTTTGTTCAATAGACAAAGAAAAAAAAAGCATTGGATTGCCATTTGATATATAATGTAAGATATGGGTCCTGAAGTAAAACCAGCTGGTGTGTGTGTGTGTGTATGCAGAAATGAGGTGTGCCAGTCGAACGTGATTATGTGCCCTCTGTGTGATAATACATGCAGGGTATGGGAGCTTTCTGACACTTGCATGTATGCAAAGGTACTGTACTTTTTATTCATTTTACTGTGCACAGACACACTTACATATTTACATAGCCACACATATGCACTGAATCAATCACCCACTTAAAAGAAGCACTCAAGGCCCTTTCACATGTCTCACATCAGGGCTTTAACACATCGCTTAAAGGGGTCATATGATGCAATTTAAATTTTTCCTTTCTCTTTGGAGTGTTACAAGCTCTTGGTGGATAAAGAAGATCTGTAAAGTTGCAAAGACTAAAGTCTCAAATCCAAAGAAATATTCTTTATAAAAGTTAAGAGTCAACCACGCCTACCTAAAACGGCTCGTTCTTTGACTGGTGTGAAGAAGAGGTACGACCAAGTAACAGACCAAGTAACTTTTTTATGCTTTTTAATGGGGCGATAGCAACTATTAGGTTAGAACAGCATTGACTGTGTTAATGGAGCAGGATCATTTTCAGCCAATAAAACCAAAGATATTGATATTGTATGCAGGGTTTGAAATTAACACCCGCCAACCCGCCAAATGCGGGTAAAAATCAGCTGTGGCGGGTAACGCTGTCAAATCACTAGCCAATTTGGCAGGTTACTTTTCGTAAATTATGTTCACTCATTAATTTCTTGGGGAAGTTCATGCAGGCCAAATCTGCGCAGGTTTAGCGCAAATACTGAACTCGTGAGACATCATGACATTATTGTAGACGGACTCAAACTGTTGGTGTATTTCTGTCTTTTTTTCTTTTTTTTTTTGGCTAGTAGAAGTTATGAATGGCCGGTAACTTAAAAATTTAGTAGCCAAATTGGCTGGTGAGTGAAAAAGTTAATTTCAATCCCTGATTGTATGGCTTAAAAAGACTTGGAATGCGACACAAATTCTTTGTAATTCTGCCTGTTGCATATTCTATATTATTTAGAAATGGTTACGTTTAGGGTTGGGGTTGGTTAGGTGCTCAGAAATATCTCTGAAATTTTTAAATATATATAAAAATCATTTCTAAAAATGAGTTTCAAATGCATGCAAAGAATTAAATGCATCTTAATCTGATGCAATTGAAGGTAATGAAGTTCCCCTTCGAGGGAGCTCCAACTCTGCGTCGATTTGATGATGCAGCATCTCGTTCCCTTCTCAGGGAACTGCAAAAGTTTTGGGTGGTTTTATAACATGTGATTGTGTATGTGCTTGTATCATGCAGGAGGAGTTGATTCTGGAGATTGTAAATAATGCAGACTGTGAACCCAAGATGCACAGGCACTCTTATCTACGCTCCACTATGGTACTAGTTTTAGTCACACTCATGGTAAGAAACTGAAGGCGTGTGAAGGTGATGTTACTTTCATAAAAAAAAATATATAATTCATATATGCATGGCGAACTGGCTTTGATGGCGTGTGTCTGTGGTGCTGTGTCACAGTTGCTGGTCATCATTGGTTTGACTCATGTCCTGGTTGTGTGCCGAGTGATCGCTACTGTGTTGCTGGCCGAAAACAGTTCTTGGCAAGTCATTACTGAGAATTCGCAAACAGTTGCCGTGATGCTTGGAGCCGTGCTTCACTACATCACCATCACCGTCATGACTCGGGTAAAAGCTCACAAACCTCCCACTGTCTGTCAGAGAACGGATGTTTGTCTTAATTTTGCTTTGATAAAGTCTTATGTTGATGAAATTCCTATTGAAACAATTTTGGACAGAACCATTTTCTTCTTGCTGTTTATAATCAGAGTCAGGTCATTAATTGGATATTCTCATTCTAGAGTGCATTGTATTAGATAAAAACTGTAAACGCCCATGAGTGCAAGATATTTTATATCACCTCTTCTGTAAGAAAAACTAATTTTTCTAATATGTGTATATGCTAAAAAGGTCTGTTCTTAATTTAAAGTATAATTTGTTTTAGTTTTAATTACCCTGAAATAGTTCAGGATCATTAAAATTGATTATTTTACTCGATTTGTAAAATAAAATTATGTGCTGTACTTTTTATGAGTATTAGAGTTTTGTGTTGTTAGCTTTATTACATGATAACATCAAACTTAAGTTGGAAGCCATATACTATCTGACATACTGACATATACTAACACCATTCAATCTCAAAGACTAAACGGATGTTTGTTTCTATCATATTAGAGATAATTTTAGAAGTGTATATCAATGTTACAAAACCTAACAACACAATACTCTAATGCCCATAAAAAATACAACACACAATTTTATAACAAATTGGGTAAAATAATACATTTTAATTAAAACTAAAATAAATACATACTAGTTTATGTTAAGAACAGACCCTTTTTTCACTCTGTTCACCATCTTGGATTATATACAGGTGCATCTCAATAAATTAGAATGTCGTGGAAAAGTTCATTTATTTCAGTAATTCAACTCAAATTGTGAACCTCGTGTATTAAATAAATTCAATGCACACAGACTGAAGTAGTTTAAGTCTTTGGTTCTTTTAATTGTGATGATTTTGGCTCACATTTAACAAAAACCCACCAATTAACTATCTCAACAAATTAGAATACTTCATAAGACCAATAAAAAAAAACATTTTTAGTGAATTGTTGGCCTTCTGGAAAGTATGTTCATTTACTGTACATATACTCAATACTTGGTAGGGGCTCCTTTTGCATTAATTACTGCCTCAATTCGGTTAAGCCACTCCTGAACCACAGACATTTTCTCAATTCGAGAAAACGAATCGAGGCAGTAATTAAAGCAAAAGGAGCCCCTACCAAGTATTGAGTACATGTACAGTAAATGAACATACTTTCCAGAAGGTCAACAATTCACTAAAAATGTTTTTTTTATTGGTCTTATGAAGTATTCTAATTTGTTGAGATAGTGAATTGGTGGGTTTTTGTTCAATGTGAGCCAAAATCATCACAATTAAAAGAACCAAAGACTTAAACTACTTCAGTCTGTGTGCATTGAATTTATTTAATACACGAGGTTCACAATTTGAGTTGAATTACTGAAATAAATGAACTTTTCCACGACATTCTAATTTATTGAGATGCACCTGTATATATATATATATTTTTTTTTTTTTCAGTTTTAGAGTTTGTTGCAGATATATTTTGATACATTAAAATGCTGGTTTTGGAACATCACTTTCTCTTTCTCGTTGTCTCTTTTCTCTTATGATAACAGTTGTAACCATGTACAATTATTTTATGCAGGTCAATTGTACAGTAGCCATGAAGCTGAGTGAAATAGGTCAGTGGAACAGGGTTTGTGGCTTTAATTATCAGACATTTTGATTGTAAACCGTATTTTTTCATAATATAAAACATACTGTTTTGTTTCTCTGCTTACAGAGAATAAGCACTCCCATGCTGCCATTGAAAGGAGTTTCACAGTCAAGATGTTCATATTCCAGTTCTTTACCATGTTCTCCTCTCTCATATACACAGCTTTCTTTCTGGGAAGGTAGCCTGGACAATTAAAAGTTTAAATATTATATTATATTATATCGGTCTTTACCAGATACAATACAAAGATGATAATATAATTTTCCTTCATTAGACATGATTTTTAGTTTTGTGTAGCCATGTTAAATGATTATATCCATATTTTTCTAACATATTTTCTTTTAATTTATTACAAGTTTACTGTAATAAAAATGTACTACAAGCAAAGAGCAAAGTAATAGTGAGTACTGAGCAGTAATTTGTGTTTTAGGATCAATGGTCACCCTGGAGGTTATGTGAGGATATCTGGCAAATGGAGACTGGAGGAGGTGTGGCCTCTATCATTTTCTCTACAGTATGCGATAAACAAATGCACTACTATGTTCTGCGTTTCACTTTTTCATGCTAATTTTTTTTATGCAATATTACATCCCTTTCAATTCAGTGTCACCCAAGTGGCTGTCTCACAGATTTGTTCATTCAGATGTCTATTATCATGGTACTTAAACAGACCTTCAACAATATCTTTGAATATTCTGGTCCGTAAGTGGAACTTTTTTGTTTGCTTTGTGTGGGATGTGCTTTTCATTATTTAACACTGGCATTGGGACACAATAACTTCAAAACTGAAGCCATTTTTTTGTCAAACATGGACAACTTCATTTTTATGTCACTTCGTTACGCTACTAAACGTTTATTCTTTTGTGTTGTGTATGCTGGCATTATATGTAAACAAGAGCAGCAGTACAACCAGTGTAGTCTTTTCAATCAATTGGTCAAAAAAAACAAAACATCAAACTCGCAAGTTTAGTGAACCTGTTGGAGCAGTTCTCAACTTGCATAAAATGAACCTGCTACTGTTTTATGCGTGCTTAAGGCTTGTGAGGCGTGAATCAGTTTAATTACTGACTAGCTGTTCATATGATAATGTCTAGTTAAAGATAAACATTTGGAACATAGTTTTATTGTAATAATACTTTTAATAATACTAATAATAACAACAACAATAATAAACATTAAAATGTTACTGAAAGTAGTGTTTTGGTAATACATTATTATACAGACCAATTCATCTTAATTAACTTTGAATAATGCACAGTATAAATGTATGACAGATAATAAACACCTTTTTTGTACCCTCTTTCTGCAGCTGGTTTAGTCGGTGGTTGAAGAGGAAAAAGGCCCAGAAGTTTAAGAGAAGGTGTGTCAAATGCTTTAAGAAGGAGGATATGAATACCAAGGAAGGATCCAAACTCTGTGAGAACTGCAAACTCAAAGACCTCCACAGAAACTACAGCCTGATTAAAACGGATCGCTTCAGCCTCTTTAATGAGTTCTTGGAAATGGGTACAGATCTTGAAAATATACTTAAAGATTCAATTGTCATTTTTTGGACCTGGAGATGGGCTCTTTTGATGTGGACCAGTAATAACCACACCTCCAATGAACATATAGCTACATGCTAACATCCACTCAGAGATTTGCAAGAAATCTTTTATTACAAATCATTTGTTTTCTTTGAAACACAGATTTCTGAATTTTGCATTGTCCTTTTTTCCCTCCCCAGTGATCCAGTTCAGTTTTACTACTATCTTTGTAGCTGCATTTCCTTTGGCTCCTTTGTTGGCTCTTCTAAACAACATCATTGAGATCCGATTGGATGCCATTAAGATGGTCAGCCTTGAGCGCAGACTAGTGCCAACGAAGGCCAATGATATTGGTGAGAGAATATTCTGTGAAAACATTCTCGTTCTGAGCTCACTGTGAGGAAATAAAATGGAAGTTGTATAGTTACTGCTATTCTTAAAGATCAGAAGAACCACTGATAAGGGTAAATTGTGGTTGTGTTTAGCATCTACCACTATGAATATCCTTCTGTAGCAGCTAGGGGCCAAGCACCGAAGGTGTGTAGGCACCTATTGTATCCGTTAGTGCTCTTCTTCGTCTTCATTTTCTTCTGCTGCTCTGGAAGTCTATGGCAGCCCATAGAACTGTAATGTAAAATGTTATGAAATTTGGTACAAAGATAGAGGACAGTCTGAACAATCACCACATCAAATTTGGAGTCTCTAACTCAAACCCTCTAGCGCCACCACTTGTCCAAAGTTGCACTCTTATTTGTGCTAATAACTTCCGAACCTTAAAGGAACACTCCACTATTTTTTAAAATAGGCTCATTTTCCAACTCCCCTAGAGTTAAACAGTTGAGTTTTACCGTTTTCGAATCCATTCAGCCGATCTCCGGGTCTGGCGGTAGCACTTTTAGCTGTAGAACCAAAATTACTTCTGATTCCTCAAGATGATTCAAACACATCACGTCGTTTTCCATCATAAAAAAAATTCTGTCATTTAAAAATTTTCAAAAAACCTACTCTTTCAAACTCCTCCTGGACCGTTTGTCTGATTTTTGTGAAATTTGAACCAAATCATCTTCAGACCATGGAAATCAAGTTGATCAGTCAAACCATTCTTGAATAACGCACAAACGAATTTGCCAAAGAGTTCGTCAAAGTGGACACGAGGCTGTATCTCCACAACACTTTAGCATATTCAGACCAAACTTGGTTACCTGCACAGTGCCACCTAGTGGTCAGTAGATATGAAAATGGCTCTTTTTTCTTATAACTTCTGAACAGTTTGGCCAAAATTATAAATCTGGTCTCTTTACATTTGGAGCAGCATGCCCAGTTTTCCCATGTCAGCCATTTTGGGCGTCAGCTAATTTGAATTTTGACAAAAAAATGCTATATTTTATGAATGCATTGGCGTAGCATTACTAAACTTGGTATGTGTCTTCGGCACCAAAAATGTTTAAGGTACTCAAAAATTATAATGAAATTTCAAAAAACTTTTCATTAGTTTTGAATATTGTCATGAGACTTGTCTTGATAGATTCCATGCCAAGAACATCAATACCAATTTTGCCATAATCGACTGAAATTCCCATCTGCTATTTTGATTTATGTTGAAACCCTACTTTTTCAAACTCCTCCTAGATTGTTGATCCATTTTTCACCAAATTTAGCTCAGATCATCTTCAGACCATGCTGGCAAAAAAAACAAAACAAAAAACATGGAATTTAAGTTGATAGATTAAACAGTTTTCATTTACCGCTTCAACAGATTTGATGGCATGCTGCCAAAGTGCATCTAAGGCTGTAAAGCTTTGACATACTGACACCAAACTTGTGTCAATGACAAACAAAATGTGTCACTTCACACTGACCACACCGCATCAATTTGGTAACAGCATCACATATAAATTTTATCAGTTTGAACTGCATGTTCCAGTGCAGATTATTTTTATGAATCTGTCACAGTTTAATGTAACTTGCAGATACTTGATATTGAAAGAAGGCAGCAAACATCAAGAGAGGATGGAAAATGGTAATGGAAAAAAATTATGCATATATGACCCTTCATATGATTTCAGGTGTTTGGACGGATGTGCTCGAGGCGATTGGTGTGCTTGCAGTCATTGCTAATGGACTGGTCATTGGTATATCCTCTGATTTCATTCCACGACTGGTTTACCAGTACTTCTATGGGCCTTGTGCCAGCGGCAGTGCTACTGGCATTAAGTGAGTTGGGCTTGATTTTTCACAACTGCGTAATCAATATATTTGCAGCAGCACAAAAGTGTCTTTTAATCTTCCTTGTTTATTTCTCAGTTGTATGGTTGGATACATAAACAACACTCTGTCCGTTGCTAATATAAGCGATGGGAGAGTCAGGGGAGATTTCACAAATAGTCAAATGGTCACTTACAGTGGCATAAATGTGACACACTGCAGGTAATGTTATTAACCCTTCTTATTATTTATCTATCTATCTATCTATCTATCTATCACCTGTGGATTTTGAAAAAAGAAATGTCCTATTTAATAGGATATTTTAAAAAAAAATTGCATTTTAGATGCTGTTTAATTCAACAAAATATTTTGGTCAAAATCAAGGCTTTGACTTTGTACTGTTTTCATTTCAGCTACAGGGACTACAGAAGTAATGAAGACTTTAGTTTAACTAATCAGTATTGGGTCATTCTGGCAGCGCGATTAGTCTTCATCATTCTGTTTGAGGTACATACAGTACATACTGTACATCTCATACTTCTATAAGAACAGCATTTCAGATACAGAGTAATTATCCTAAGATTAATAATGAATGCTATTGCTCACTCACTCCCTCTCTCTCTCTCTCTCTCTGCCCAGCATGTAGTGGTGATCTGTAAGTGTGTAGCAAGCTGGTTTGTCCCTAACTCACCCCTGGATGTGAGAAATGAAAGACTGTATGATAAACTCAGGAGACTTAAGGAAGAACTGAGGTCAGTAACAAGAGCTTACACACTATAGAACCGCAAATGTGCATTAAGAATGTAAACAGAGTAAATGTTTCATGAATTTTGACAAGTTCTTTTAATGTGTGCATATTCATGTTTTTTTTTTTTTTTCAGTGTTCAAAGAGCACAACAGGACCCTTTGACCAAACTAAATGAGAATGGTAATGCAAAAAGAACATCTAAACAGAAAAAAGCAAATAAGCTAAATAGTATGTGAGACAAATGAGCTAAAACGAGATGCCCCCTCGTAAAATTCGTAGGTCCTCATTCTAGAAGGTTTGTCCCTAACTCACCCCTGGATGTGAGAAATGAAAGACTGTATGATAAACTCAGGAGACTTAAGGAAGAACTGAGGTCAGTAACAAGAGCTTACACGCTATAGAACCGCAAATGTGCATTAAGAATGTAAACAGTAAATGTTTCATGAATTTTGACAAGTTCTTTTAATGTGTGCATATTCATGTTTTTTTTTTTTTTCAGTGTTCAAAGAGCACAACAGGACCCTTTGACCAAACTAAATGAGAATGGTAATGCAAAAAGAACATCTAAACAGAAAAAAGCAAATAAGCTAAATAGTATGTGAGACAAATGAGCTAAAACGAGATGCCCCCTCGTAAAATTCGTAGGTCCTCATTCTAGAAGCATCTGAATTTCGACTGTTGCTAGTCACCTTTATTAAAAAAGATTTTACATTTTAAAGGGTGGTTACATTTTTAATTGATTATTGCATCTCAGTTTGTGGATTAATGACTGCTTGATAAATCAGTTTTGTCTAACGTATATAAAGATGTATGCACTACTGTCCAAAGTTTTGGGAGTCGGTACGTTTTTTTTTTATGTTTTTAAAAGAAATATCTTGTGCTCACCAAGGATGCATGTCTTTGATCAAAATACAGTAAAAAGTCACCAAGTGATGTAAAATTGCCACTAAAATAGAGTAAAGTTGTGAAATATTACAACTAAAATTAAAATTTCTTCTATTTTAATACATTTTAAAATGTACTTTATTCCTGTGATGGCAAGCAGAATTTTCAGCAGCATTACTCCAGTCTTCAGTGTCAATGTAAAGTTTCAATGTAAAAGTCTTTACAGTCACTTTTGATCAATTTAGTGCATCCTTGCTGAATAAAGTATTAATTTATTTCAAATCAATCAATCTTATTGACCCCAAACTTTTTTTAGCATGTAAACTTATTTGTTTTTGTTTTTTTAATAAGATGTATATACAGTATAAAAGAAATATGTATTATATTTATGATAAATGACCTGAATATAAAATGTAAATATTTTGTAAAAAAAAAAAAAAGTATAAAGGTAATGAAAGTGCTGTGGTTTCTGTTGTAAAACATTTAAATAAAATCAATTAAATTGATGTCTTGACCTCTCAGAATCTATTTCCCCCCCTTTTTTTTTTTTTACGTAAATAGATCATGTTATGTTCCCGTTCCCCAGTCTAGGGTTGGGAGTGGGAGTAACAGGTTAACTAAAACTCATAAAGGAAGAAATAAATAAGACGTGGAGGAATCACTCCAATCCTCTCTGCCCCAGAAATGCAGCAACCACTTAGTTTGACAAACTTAAACAATTTATTTAGACCAGCAAGAATCATAGAAGCAATAAATGTCTTCAGGAGAGGGCCTGGCCAAAACAACAAACAAAACAGCAGCTAACTAACAGGAGAAGTACTAAATAACCTATCCAGGTAAAAGAAAAGAAAAACAACAAAAGCCTTCCTCAACTCCCTCACTAACCAAAAACAGGGATAAACATTTGGCGCTTTTCCACTGCGTGGTACGACTCGGCTCGGCACGGCTCAGTACGGCACGGCACGGCTCGGCTCGGTTTGCGTTTCCACTGCAGTTCAGTACCGCTTTAGCCCCATCAAGCTCTCGCTGGATCCGCTCTTCTGCTATCAATGAGAGGAACATCTGTACTTCCTCAACAGACAACGAAACGGCCACTTTTTGCTTGTTAAAAAAGGTGCGCTTGTTCAAAACAATTGCGTTCGATCCTTCGCTGGCTGTGCTGATTTAAATCTAGCAGTTCTGTTGTGTTTGTGTCGCAAGTTCAGTGACGCAGGTAGTTGACATGTTTGACACACCCACCAAACAAGAGAAAACGTATCTCAAACCCTGTTGCACACCGTTTCCAGGAAACATGTCGTTCAAACCGGAAACCGTAGCAAAATGTTACACACCGGTTTGGGCTTGAACGTGCCCCTGGTTCAGGTGTTTGATTAGGGTTGGAGCTAAACTCTGCAGGACACCGGCCCTCCAGGACTGAGTTTGGTGACCCCTGGTGTAGGATGTCATTGTGGAATAAAATGGTTTGTGTGGCTTATCATATTATTCTACATGTGAGATACAGGAGACACTTGACCTCATATATGTCTGAGGAGAGTCTGCCTAGATCTACACAGGGCAACTTTTTGAGCAATGCTGCTGGGCAATGTTGCCATCAACGGGCAACCAGGTGAGACACAGGGCCCACGACCGATCTAAAGTATCCAGTTGCCCATTCTCAATGGGAAAGTGCCCAAGCAACATTGCTCAAAAAAGTTGCCCCGTGTATCATCACCTTTAGGTTTTTTCTTAGGTGCACATGATAGGGTTGAACTGCTGTTTTGTCTGTTTTGCAACTGTGGGAAAACAAGCTATAGTATATGCAGGGAATATTGTAATATTTATATACAGTACTTTTGCTACACAGTGTAGAAATACATAATATATAATTAAAATTATAAATATGAATAATGGGGAAAATATGATATGACACCGTGTTAAATGTAGGTGTTGACTAACTCCAGCAGATGGCAGTAGTGCAGCATCCGGGATGCAGGCTGCCGTTAAAACCCAAAGAAGAAGAAGAAGAATGAGGCGCCAAATTTTGTACCTTTCCTTCGAGAACGGAGGGCGATAAATAGAGGAATGAATCATGAATCTTAAAGGCAAAGGTGAGGATTATTTACTCATGCTGTGAGTTAATGTAACGTAATGTTTGCAACCTTCGCATGATACTAAACTAAATATCCGAAAACAAAAGATAGTTACTAATGCACACGTTAATGTTTACTGACATTAGCTTTTGTTGTCGCGTATATTAGCATCTTGTTTACTATAGTTTTGCTTCTAAATGAACTGTATTGTTTATGTTTCCTGTGCAGCAACCGCGGATTCTAACGCCAGCAGGTAAATAAATAAATAAATATACACACAGCTATGATACTGCGGTCCAAAACACTCAGGCCGTCAGAGATGTAGATGAGTTTGTTTCTTCATCAGATTTGGAGAAATGTAGCATTGCATCACTTGCTCATCAATAGATGCTCTGCAAGTGAATGGGTGCCGTCAGAATGAGAGTCCAAACAGCTGATAAAAACATCACAATAATCCACAAGTAATCCACACCACTCCAGTCCATCAGTTAATGTCTAGAGAAAAACTGCATATTTGTTAGAAACAAATCCATCGAGACGTTTTTAACTTCAAACCGTCTTCTGGCTAAAATATGTCCTCTGTCCATTATATTCATTTTTGGGTGTTCTGTTCATTTCATACATTAATCGCAACAGCTGGCATCAGTCATTCAAAAATGGCTCAGGATGGTAAAGTTGTGAGAACATCATTTGTTTGTTTAGATGACAGTTTATGTTATCTATTGCACTATCAATTAAACTCTAATTACTTTTGGGACCACTGTATTCATATCTGGTAAGAGCTGTATAAAAATGAGTCTAAATACACACAAGTAACGGTGATTGTATTTTGTGTGTGCAGGTCCCTCAGAGCTGGATAATTTTTCAGATGAACTGCGTGGTGTAATTCCTCGAAGTTTTGAATACCTCTTCTTCCTCATCAACAGAGAGGTGGAACGGGTAAGACGGGTTTCATTGAAGAAAATATTTAGAAATGTTATATTTAGTGCTCAAAATTACGTTATTCGATAAAGTAACTAATTGCACTTTTTTATGGAAGGGAATCCATTACGTTACTTTTGCTTTACTTGTTGTCTCCTGGGCTGGACTTGCTTATTTGATTTAAAAAATAAAAAAACCAACTAAGTTATATTTTTGCCAACTGTAAAGGCCCTTTCACACCAAAAGTGAAATTAATAAGCCTCTGTGAAAACAAAGTAATTTACTTATTTGAAAAAGTAACTCCGGTATTTAACTCTAAATTTAAAAGTGATACGTTACTTTACTAGTTTCTTGAAAAAGTAATCTGATTATGTAACTTACATTGCTTGTAATGCGTTACACCAACACTGGTTACAAAACATTGATACATACAACATCAAAAAACCTTTTTGTGGTGTAGATCCCGCTTCAGTTCAGTGTTGTGAAGTGCTTTTAAAAAGTATTTAATCAATGACAGTGCTCACAATGTTTTTTTTTTTTCTTTTTCTAATCTTGTTGTTTTTCCTCTTCAATGGGCCATATTGTTTTTAATGTTCACTTAAACATTTAATTTAATGGATTCTTTTTTTCTGTGCAGTCTGGTGGGCTGAAGAGCTTCCTCTGCAAGTGTTCATTCATAGAGATCTACAATGAGCAGATTTATGACCTATTGGACAGTGTGTCCACCAGCCTGTTCCTGCGAGAGGACATCAAGAGGGGCGTCTTTGTAGAAGGAGCTGTGGAGAAATACGCAGCATCTGCTGCAGAGGCCTATCAGGTCTTACACATGTATCTAAATGCTAAGACTAATAATAATAATAATAATAATATCCACTCCTAGCTACTGAAATAAGTTTATGCATATGATTTTGGCATTTCTGTTGTGAGCTTTGTGATTTATTTCTGCATGTTTGTGTGTGCAGGTGTTGTCGATGGGATGGAGGAACAGGCGAGTGGCGTCCACCTCAATGAACCGCGAGTCCTCTCTACTGTCTGTCGGTTCAGTCATAGTGTTTTATTTTTATACCATCATTTACTCAATCAAAGGTTGTTTTAAACCTGAATGAGTTTCTTTCTTCTGCTGAACATAAATGCTATTTTGAGGAACGTGGAAAACCAAACAGTTGCTGGTCCACAGTGACTTCCATAGTATTTTTTTTGAATGTGGACCAGCAACTGTTTGGTTACCCACATTCTTCAAAATATCTTTTGTGTTCAGCACAAGAAATAAATTAATACTAGGTTTGGGACAACATGTGAATGGCTAAATAATGACAGAAATTAAATTTTAGGGTGGACTATCCCTTTAATGACAGTCGGCAGCATGTTAAGACCTGCACGCATCTAATATACAGGCATGCATCTGTTTTTCTCTCAACTGTTTACTTTCATTTTAGACATAACCAACTGTGTTCATATGTAAACCTTGTGTGTTTTGACAGTATTAGCTAGGCCTGTCGCAATAATCAATATATCAACTTATCGCGCAATATATGTACATGACCGCAATAATTTTTGGTGACGCAATATATCGCCCATTATATTTACTTAAAAATTAATGTCACTGTTTTGTACATTCCATTTGCGCCTGTGTCTTTTGCAGCTTCTTGTACATAACGTGGTGTAGTCATGAGGTGCTAGTCCAAATAAAAAAAATGCTTCTACAAACAAAGTTTCATCTGCAGATATGATCTTGTTTAGGTGCAGATATGACAAGTTTGTTGTCATTTGGAAGTGTGTTGGCCTTCTTGCATTATTATGCTTTTACATTATGATTATATATTCAGTGGCATAAAACGGTATTTAAAATGACAATAATATCGCTTACCGCAATTATTTCTGGGGCAATATATCGCACAACAAAAAGTTGTTATCGTGACAGGCCTAGTATTAGCGCAAAAGATAACTTAGTTCAGTAATCAGGCGCTGTTTGACAGGCTTTTAGTGCGCGCGCTTCAGGTGTATGCGCTCAGAAAAAGTGCACGCCAGAACAGCACATGAATGAAACGTTTAACCGGCAAGGCTTTAAAGCACGTGCAAATAATGTCCTTTTGTGATTACGAATAAGTGCAGTGTCCTGTGAGAGTAACTCAACCGCTGAGTTAACACTGATGTGAATGCATGTGGCGTTGTACAGTATATTGATACAGTGGCGCTAGAACTGTAACTGATTGAATGTGCGCTGTAGCACGACACTACAATATTACTTCAAAAGCAGATCGTGGAGACATTTTTATCATCCACGATCAAAAATCGTCATATCGCACACCCCTACCATCAGGTCTTACACATGTTTTAAACACTAAGAATAATATTAATATCTACTCATAGCTGCTGAAATATTTTTCATACAATTTTGCCATTTGTTGTGAGCTTTGTGATTTATGTCTGTGTGTTTGTGTGTGCAGGTGTTGTCGATGGGATGGAGGAACAGGCGAGTGGCGTCCACCTCAATGAACCGCGAGTCCTCTCGTTCACATGCAGTGTTCACCATGACACTGGAGTCAAAGGAGACTGGACAGGAAGTGGTCAACATCAGGACCTCTCAGCTGAACCTGGTGGATCTCGCCGGCTCAGAGAGACAGAGGGACACACATGTGGAGGGTTCACGGCTCAAGGTGCTTACGCTGAAAATATACCCGTCAAAATGTTCAGTTTTAAAACCAAGTAGAGGTTTAGGTTTAACAGAAACACTTGCTAGTATTACTATTATTATTCCCAGTTTTACATTTAGTACAGTGCATATTTTATTACAATATTATTCAACTTGATTTCAAACTTTATTAATGCTAATGTGGACCTGTATTTTTTTCCCGCCCTAATGTAATTGACAAAACAATTACTAACACTAAATTAATTGAATGATTCATTAAATCATAAGTCAGTGTCACTGAATGTCATTTGTATAGTGTTTATGTTGCTTTACAAACAAGGCTGACTAGTGTTGTCAAGTATGCTGTTTTCCTGTGGAATTGGGTTACTTTAACACTGTTGCCGCGGGTTGTTTTTCATGTCTGCGGGTTGAAGTGACCCCAATAACGTGATATTTAGCCCCTGCAATGCAAATGTTACCAGGGGAACCTCGCCAAAAATAAGTGTATTTTACCCCCGGAAAGTGATTTTTCCCGGGGGACCCCCCTCAAAATGCCATTGGGCTAGTTTTGAGTAGAGCCCGACCGATATATCGTTTTGCCGATATGAGCCTGTCGCCGATATATCGGTATCGGAGAATATGCCGCCGATATGCCGATATGAAATTTTTTTTTACAGAACATATAATGCAGATAAAATGCTTGAAATGGTGTAATTACTTAAACTCTAATCGAGTGTACGTCTCGAGGCCCTCTTTCGAATGAGACCCCCGCATGGATAGCCCCCGGGGTTTGGGAGTTACGGGGTGGTTAAATTCGCGGTCCGGCAGGCCTTTTTTTTACTCCCTAATATCGGTATCGTTATCGGCCCCAAAAAAACCATATCGGTCGGGCTCTAGTTTTGAGTAGGGGTGCTCAGATCAGGATTTTTGAGGCCGATCACAGAAAGCAGTATCTGCCGATACCGATCTTTTTAAGTCGGGCTCTAGTTTTGAGTAGGGGTGCTCAGATCAGGATTTTTGAGGCCGATCACAGAAAGCAGTATCTGCCGATACGATCACCGATACCGATCTTTTTAAAGCCTTTTTGTATCATGTAGAATTATTTATAGGAGTTCAAACAGCGGCGCGGCACGAGCAGCTCACTAGAGAAATGGCTCATTGATTTAAACGAGTTTATAGCCAGATGAAACAGCGCTGACTAACAGTAGAACTGTGCGCAATGATACAGTCAGAAGGCTTTTCAGTCTACAAGTTGCCATAATTTACCATGGATTTACTGTAGTAACACTAACTGCACCGTGGTATTGTGGCAGAAATGTGGGTATTTGTATCGATTTTATTATATTATTAATGTAGACATTACTTAAATGTATTAAAGGAGTAATGGAATATAATTACAGTATTTTTGTGATTAAGCTATAGCATGTGTGCATTTAGCCTATACTAAGTTTTTAGACTACTGTTTTTCATACAAATACCTAAAAACCATACTGTTATGTTTATATTATTAATGTAGACATTACTTAAATGTATTAAAGGAGTAATGGAATATAATTACAGTATTTTTGTGATTAAGCTATAGCATGTGTGCATTTAGCCTATACTAAGTTTTTAGACTACTGTTTTTCATACAAATACCTAAAAGCCATACTGTTATGTTTTTACCATGGTATTGAGGTGTGCTATATGTGTGGTTTTAACTGTGTTTATCATGATTTAAATGTATGCTATTAAGGAAGACCAATTATTAAAAAAAAAAAACAGAATAATTTGATTTTACCATATAAAAATGAGGTTGCTATAATTTTTTACAGATGTTACTGGTTTTCAGTGCTCCACATGATTTGGTTGCAATTTTTATTTTTATTTTTTTTGCACTGGAACATAGGATTAATCAATGCATGCTTTTATCATAGTTTATAGTTAGGGATGCACCGATACCGATACTGGTATCGGTATCGGGCCCGATACTGAGCTCCTGTACTCGTACTCGTTAAAATGCCCCGATACCAAACGCCGATACCACACAGCATGTGATAAGCGCCGTATTCAAACAAAGAAACACCAGCAACAGAACAACAGACAGCAGAATGAAGTTATTAGAGATTAAGGATGTCTACGAAGTATATGTATGCAATGAATATAAAACAATCAGTATTATTGCCTGTATAGCTGATTTGTGCCAGCCGGCAAGTACCAAAAATAAAAGTATCGTATCGGGCGAGTACTGGAAAAAGTGGTATCGGTGCATCCCTATTTATAGTTATATGGAAACGAAAGTGGTTAACATTCAACCCGTTCTTTTTCATCAGTAGTATTATTTGTGATTTGAAGTTTGTGAACGGGAGATCCTCTTCAGGTGCTTTCACTTTCAAATTTGCGATCTTGTCGCAAATTGCAAAAAAAGTAAAACTAAACTTGCTGTCGGTGACAGTGCTTGCATGTTTTTACCCCCACAAGAATACCAACATGTTCACCTTTTCTGGATTAAGAAGCGGTCTTTTACTTTACTTTAGCTTGAAAACCATCCATCGTTTCCTCCGTATTCGCGTCATTTTTGCTGCGCGCACCTTCGCGCTCGTGCTGACGCGGCGAGTATAAACCAGAATCTATACTCGAAGCGCTGCGCAGTTCAAACGAGTAGCGCAGTTTCGTTATGCTTTCAGTTTTGTTTGATGTTTCACATATGCAACAGAAATGGCAGCACTTATGAGTTGAACAACACGGTGGTCGCGCCAGTGTGACCACTCACAAAAATTAGATGCATCGGCAGGAAAAATGGTCGCAAAATTGCGTTGCATCGCGCCGCGTAAACATAAAACCATGTCTGCATTTGTGATCGGAGAAGCGCAGTTCAAACGAGTAGCGCAGTTTCGTTATGCTTTCAGTTTTGTTTGATGTTTCACATATGCAACAGAAATGGCAGCACTTATGAGTTGAACAACACGGTGGTCGCGCCAGTGCGACCGCATACAAAATGTAGTCGCACAGGTAGAAAAAAATGGTCGCAGTCTGGAGCCCTGATGGTTTTGATAATGAACATAAATTTACATCTGCATCCTAACTCAAGCTACTACTACTATCAAATGTGCATTTCTAAGAGGCCTAATGGTTAGAGAGTCAGACTTGTAACCCAAAGGTCGCGGGTTCGAGTCTCATGTCCGGCAGGGATTGTAGGTGGGGAGTGAATATCCAGTGCTCTCTTCCACCCTCAATACCACAACTGAGGTGAGACCCTTGAGCAAGGCACTGAACCCCCATCTGCTCCCCGGGCGCCGCAGCAGTATGGCTGCCCACTGCTCCGGGGGTGTGTTCACTACTGTGTGTGTGTTCACTACTGTGTGTGTGTGCTCACTACTTCACTACTGTGTGTGTGCGCACTACTGTGTGTGTGCGCACTACTGTGTGTGTTCACTACTGTGTGTGTTCACTACTGTGTGGGTGTGAACTTGGATGGGTTAAATGCAGAGCACAAATTCCGAGTATGGGTCACCTTACGAGTATGGGCATACGCACTGCAAACGGAGTAATGTGAACCTGGCATTATGTGTGTGCGCTGCGAGTGTGCACACACATGAATGTGCGAGTGTGCACGTGTACAGTCTCCAGGAGAGCGTGCAAGCTCTGAACACTGGCAAGAATTAAAAATAAATGCAGTTTATAAACTTTAGTGACGATGTGACACTGCCTCGATTGTGCAAGTGACAATTCCTGTGTCAACTGTGCAGCGTGCAGCTCGCTTATAGACAGACGTGATTTTATTTGAAGCCGTTTGCGTATGTTGAGAGAGAAAGAGCACGCGCGGTGATTCACTCACGCTGTTTGTGAAATTATGTCTCACAGAAAGTTTTCAAATTACTTTATAAGTTATTTAATGAAGAAATGTGAACTGTACCTCACCTTCAGCATTGTAATTATTTTAGCCGCGCTGGACAGAGACTGAGACGGTTACGCTGCATGACCATCGTGCCAAACCTCTTACAGCAGCTTGAGATCGGTTTATGTGATTGGCCTTTATAGAGACCGCCGATCAAACATCCCCAAGCGATTATCGGCCGATAGTGATCGTAGCCGATCAATCGGAGCACCCCTAATTATAAGATTAATCAGTGCAAGTTTCTTTCAGTTGAAACGGCTCAGAATTACATTTTAGTCTTGTCTGTGAAACCATGGGATAGTGTGCAGGGCTCCAGACTAATTATTTTTACTAGGAGCACTGTAGCCCCTGACTGAATTTTTAGGAGCACAAGCAGAAAATTGAGGGGCACACCTTAAATCAGCCTGCAACGCAATCGATCACATATTTTCCACATTTTAACCGTATTACTGACAAATGCTTTGATAATAAATAGACTTAACTCATAGAAATTGCAATGTGCAGTATTCTTTTAATTTCAGAGGGATATGACAAATATATTCATGATATGATACAATTACTATTGTTTTGCATGAATAAGTGCAGTTATTAATACTATTACAGATTAATTTCTTGTTTATTTCATGTTTATACGCATTTGACAGTAAAGCACTAAGCTTGAGTTGGGAAGCTCACCAAATTTATTTTATTAACAACAGTAACATGTACAATAATACATTTTTTTTAATGTAGAAAAGGTATATATTGTGCTCTTATTAAAGGGTTAGTTCACCCACAAATGAAAATTCTGTCATTAATTACTCACAGCGCAGACAGCGCTGGTGAGTCGATTGCTCAATATGTCGCTGACTTGAGAGGACTGGCAAAACCGTGCTGTTTTGGTGAATTGTCAGATGAGATGATACGAGATCAGTTAATTGAGAAAACAAACAATACACTAATTCGGGAGCGGCTGTTATTGGAAGATGCTGATCTCACTTTAGAGAAAGCTGTAATTCTGACCTTGAGTCTGCTGCTCAGTGCGCTGCTAAATTAAAGGGATAGTTCACCCAAAAATCAAAATTCTGTCATTAATTACTCACCCTCATGTCGTTCCAAACCCGTAAGACCTCCGTTCATCTTCGGAACACAAATTAAGATATTTTTTATAAAATCCAAGAGCTCTAAAACATGCATAGACAGCAAGGTTACTACCACGATCAAGGTCCAGAAACGTAGCAAGGATATCGTTAAAATAGTCCATGTGACATAAGTGGTTCAACCGTAATTTTACGAAACTACGAGAATACTTTGTGTGCAAAGAAAACAAAAATAACGACTTTATTCAACAATTGTTCTCTTCCTCATCCCGCCTGTAGTGGTGCACCGCCATTGTAGAGAGAGTATCATGACGCATGCGCTCGTTTCCGGTTCATGTAAATAACGCATGTACGTGTTAACGTAAGCAGCAGCGCAATGTGCATGTGTTGTTTACATGAAACGAAAGTAAGCGCATGCGTCATGATACTCTACAACGGTGTAAAGTTACGGTTGAACCCCTGATGTCATATGGACTATTTTAACAATGTCCTCTCTACGTTTCTGGACCTTGATTGTGGTAGTAACCTTGCGGTCTATGGGAGGGTCAGAGAGCTCTCAGATTTTTATAAAAAAATATCTTAATTTGTGTCCCGAAGATGTCTTACGGGTTTGGAACAACACGATGGTGAGTAATAAATGACAGAATTTAAATTTTTGGGTGAACTATCCCTTTAAATACTGCACATGAATCAAGTGTAAGCAGTGGGGACATGATACAAGAATGCACACAAGTTCACGGGGCAGAGGCAGATGTATCTTCAAGTGCAGACATACAATATGCACGCCCTCAAGTTCAGCGACAGTGTGGAAATTGTGGGTCCAGTAGACACTCATCACATGCCCCTGACTGCCCTGCAAGGGGACAAACATGTTGACGTTGTCAAAAGCCGAACCACTTTGCAGAATGGTGTCGGTCTGCTCCAGTTCAAGCTCCTACACAACGAAACCCATGTGCTAACGCTACAACCCCTGCCATTATTCATTCAATAAACACCAATTCAGCAAGTTTTTCTACATGCGCTGTTAATATAGCGGATTCTTGTATTCCTCTGCTCCTGGACACAGGGGCTAAAGTCTCACTACTCAATATGGACACTTATGAACGTTTCCTGCCACACTTTCCCCTTCAGCCGCCTTCCCTGAATCTGTTTAGATATGGAAGTTCTGCAATTGATGTTATCGGTCTTATACATGCGCCTGTCCAGTATGGCAACAAGATCCCATTTCACATTACACGCCATGGCAGGAATATCCTTGGATTGGACCCGTTTATGAGTCTGGACTTTTCTCTGCTGGACAATAAGGGGTGTCAGCTGTCCCTGGCAACAAGAATGGCCAACGCTGTTTGAAGGCCTTGGGTGCTTAGCTGCGTTCACTCACCAGCCTCTCTTGGATCCTACAGTTAAACCAGTCATTCAGCCACTCCGCCGCATTCCGCTGGCATTGCGTGAGGAATTCACAGCAGAACTTGTCAAACTGCAAGCAGAGGGCATCATCGAACCTGTTGACGCCTCCCTATGGGTGTCTAATTTGACAGTGGCTAAGAAAAAATCTGGCGGACTCAGAGTTTGCGTGGACTTAAGGTCCGTCAACAAAGCAGTAATCCCAGACCACTACCCTCTGCCATCATTTGAAGAGCTGACAACACACTTTCACGGCTCAACAATTTTTTCCAAACTTGACCTTCGTCAAGGCTATCTCCTGGTTCCCCTCCACCCAGACAGCAGAAATCTTACTGCATTTGTTACACACAATGACGTATTTCCTTACACAAGGATGCCTTTTGGACTCAGCTCGGCCCCTAGTTGTTTCCAGAAAATCATGTCCACCATACAGGCTGGTGTCCCTGGCTCTGCCATCTACCTTGATGATGTCATTGTCCATGCCCTGAATGCAGTGATTCACGAACAGCGCTTAAGGGCTACTTTTGCTGCACTCAGTCAGCACAATTTGACACTTAACATGGAGGAATGCTTATTTGTGGTTCCAGAGGTTGACTTTGTTGGCTTTCATGTTTCAGCCGAGGGCCTTTCGCCATTGCACTCCAATATTGAGGCTATACATCAGGTGCCGGAGCCATCGTCCGCAGCACAAGTTGCATCGTTTCTGGGGATGACAACATACTATATACGTTTTCTACCTCAGTACTACACAATTACGTACCCTCTCCGCCAGCTGCTCAAAAAAGATGCTCCATGGACCTGGTCTTCAGCTTGTTCTGATGCTGTGCGCACACTTAAGGAACTGTTGACAAGCCCACCTGTCTTGGCACACTTCAGTCTTGACTGCCCCACACTGGTCACTTGTGATGCTTCAGCTACTGCTGCTGGCGCTGTTCCTTCACAACTCCAGAATGGCATTGAATGGCCTGTGGCTTTTGCTTCTCATGCATTCAGCCTGACTGAACAAAAATACTCAACTGGAGAAAGGGAGGCTCTGGCTTGCGTATGGGCCTGCAAATGCTGGCATGCCTACCTTTATGGCTGAAAATTCACCCTTCGAACTGACCACCGAGCCCTGAGTGCACTTATGTCTCCTTCTGGGTCTGGTCACAAACCACTGTGAATGTACCGTTGGACTGACCGTCTCCAGCAGTATGACTTTACAATACAATACACCTGAGGCAGAGATAATGTGGTGGCTGATTTGCTGTCCCGTTCTGTGTCATCGCCCATTGCCTCCTGTCAGGTGGCTGAGGACAGGGACCTTATTCAACTAGTGCATGCACCCCTGACAGCTTTTGTGTGACTGTCAGGGTGACTGTAAGTGACTGTAATGGGGTAATCAAAATAGCCTGCCACAACTCTGTGCTTTTGTTGTCATTTATTTTCATTTTTAGTTTAGTGAATTTAACTTCTGCTTTAAAAGCCTTATCTTTGTTTTTAGTTTGCAATGTTACAATGTTAGAATGAAATGTGATTTCAACCCTTTTTTGCACATAATATAAAGGCTTACATGGTTACATTCACTTTATTTGTTTTCATAGCCTTTAATATGTATTGTTTTGTTGGACAACATTGGGCAGTAAGTGAAATATATATATATATTTATTTATTTATTTATTTATTTATATTAGGGATGTAACGGTATGAACATTTCTTATCACGATTATAGTGACCAAAATCATTACTTTTTGTTAGCATTATCACTAAAACAGTAATATTACCAATGATGTTCGGACAACTTGACAACTTGACTGACAACAGTTTAATAGCATGTTGAAATATCTAATGTAAATGTTCAAATAAAGCTTTGAAAAAGTTTCATAAGGTAAACCTCACATTTCAGCCTTTAAATAAAGAAAATATCAAAATGATAATTGATTAATAAATGATTATATGTATCTTATCTGCACCATAAATAATTCTAGATAACTTATCTGAATTGTTTATTGTTTAAATGTGTAGAATCACAAAAACGAAAATACCTGAAAAGTTTAAGAATGCCTGCTTTAATGACTTGTCTATTACTCTACTGTTATTACCTTATATTAAACCGTAACCTTTTGACTTGTGCTTTAGGAGGCGAGCAGCATAAACCGCTCCCTGATGTGTCTTGGTCAGGTGATCATGGCCCTGATGGATGTGTCAAATGGGAAGAACCGTCACATTTGTTATAGAGACTCGAAACTGACCTTCCTGCTCAGGGTGAGGGCTCTTTACCAATGTCTGTAAAAATGCATATGAAGTAACGTGTGTCTAACTGCTGTTCATGTGCTCAGGACTCTCTGGGCGGAAACGCTAAAACGTACATCATCGCTAACGTTCATCCTGGCTCCAAGTGCTTTGGAGAGACGCTCTCCACTCTGCAGTTCGCTCAGAGAGCCAAACTCATCAAAAATAAGGTTGAGCAACAGAATCATTCAGCCAAACATTCATTATATTCTCAATATTCTTGAAGAATTGGTGCAACGAGAAGGCTAATCTGTGTGTGTGTCTGTAGGCTATGGTAAATGAGGACACTCAGGGTAATGTCAGACAACTGCAAGCGGAAGTGAGAAAACTAAAGGAGCAGCTCGCAAATGCTCTTTCACAAGCTGGTGTCATAGAGGTCACACCATCAGACCAGCAAACAGGTACACACTTGTTACAGAGCTCACACAGACGATCCATCTGTCTGGACGTAATACTCGTTCTTTTCTTATGGTTTGAACTGGTGTTTGTGTTGCAGCACACTCTGAGGTTTACTACAAGACGCAGTTCATTCAGGCCATGAGCTTCTGGAAGAAGGCACAGGAGGAGAAGAAGGTGCCTTTTATGTGCAGTTGCTTTTTTATTGAAGAATTAAATCAATAAAATCTAAATTTACCATATTACATTGTTAAAAAAAAAAAAAGAAAGGCCTCTGGTCTCCTTTCCCACGTACTGCAGAAGCGTTAGCATTAGCCGTTACGCTTTCTTTGGCTAAAGGTTGCAGGCTTGCCTTCTAGTGTCTTTGATGATACTCTCTCCCATTCTTTTCTGCTCTTCTGTCAAATTTATCCCCTAGGGTCACATACAAAAATTTCGGAGACGCTCTCCACTCTGCAGTTCGCTCAGAGAGCCAAACTCATCAAAAATAAGGTTGAGCAACAGAATCATTCAGCCAAACATTCATTATATTCTCAATATTCTTGAAGAATTGGTGCAACGAGAAGGCTAATCTGTGTGTGTGTCTGTAGGCTATGGTAAATGAGGACACTCAGGGTAATGTCAGACAACTGCAAGCGGAAGTGAGAAAACTAAAGGAGCAGCTCGCAAATGCTCTTTCACAAGCGGGTGTCATAGAGGTCACACCATCAGACCAGCAAACAGGTACACACTTGTTACAGAGCTCACACAGACGATCCATCTGTCTGGACGTAATACTCGTTCTTTTCTTATGGTTTGAACTGGTGTTTGTGTTGCAGCACACTCTGAGGTTTACTACAAGACGCAGTTCATTCAGGCCATGAGCTTCTGGAAGAAGGCACAGGAGGAGAAGAAGGTGCCTTTTATGTGCAGTTGCTTTTTTATTGAAGAATTAAATCAATAAAATCTAAATTTACCATATTACATTGTTAAAAAAAAAAAAAGAAAGGCCTCTGGTCTCCTTTCCCACGTACTGCAGAAGCGTTAGCATTAGCCGTTACGCTTTCTTTGGCTAAAGGTTGCAGGCTTGCCTTCTAGTGTCTTTGATGATACTCTCTCCCATTCTTTTCTGCTCTTCTGTCAAATTTATCCCCTAGGGTCACATACAAAAATTTCGTTGAGATCTGATAGTCTGTGCCCACCATTTAGTCATCTAACCCCAAAATCGTAAACCCATTATGAAGCAAAAAAAGTGATTAAATATAATTAAATGATAAAGGCGTAATTATAATAGTATTATGCATTTGCGTGTTCTCCCTATTCTGCTCAGTCTTAAGCACAGTTGCCACCTGCTGCTTATCTTGCCCACAGGCTCTTCAGGGGAAAGTGTCTCAGCTGGAAGCTGCCTGGGCTCAGAAGGAGAAATTCGTCCAGTCCAGCCGCATGATCCTGAAGTTCAGAGATGATCATATCGCTCAGCTGAAGAAAGAACTTCAGTCAGGCCAGAGATCAGACCCTGATCAGCAGAACCAGCAGCTGCAGGAAGAGATACGTCTGCTTCGAGAGCAGGTAGACACACTTAAACTTATTCAGGTAGACAATGGCTTATTTGAGACATGTTTGTGTGTACTGGCTGAAAGCGCTCTGTAGATATTCTATATCTGAGAATCAGTACCTCTAAACAAAACATGTAAACCAATTCATGTAAAACATGCAATATGCATACTACATAATTGAAATAATGGTGGTGTTTGAGAGTGAAGTTGGAAAAAAAATTAAATAAGAGGTCTCTGCTAAAGTAGCAGCTCCCATTTTTCAAAAGTTACATTTTGTAGAGAATCTTTTATTCTTCATAAGCTCCAGTAAATGTTGTCTCGGCTGCATTCACACTGCGAGCCTTAGTGCTCAATTCCGATTTTTGCTCTGATTTTTTGCATAGCTGTTCACAAATTGTTGTTTTAAATGTGGCCAATATCAGATTTACAGTGTGAACAGATCATGGTTCTGAACTGACCTGCATGCGCAAAAGACAAATACGAACAGGGTTTGCAGGTTTAAGAGATACGTCTGCTTCGAGAGCAGGTAGACACACTTAAACTTATTCAGGTAGACAATGGCTTATTTGAGACATGTTTGTGTGTACTGGCTGAAAGCGCTCTGTAGATATTCTATATCTGAGAATCAGTACCTCTAAACAAAACATGTAAACCAATTCATGTAAAACATGCAATATGCATACTACATAATTGAAATAATGGTGGTGTTTGAGAGTGAAGTTGGAAAAAAAATTAAATAAGAGGTCTCTGCTAAAGTAGCAGCTCCCATTTTTCAAAAGTTACATTTTGTAGAGAATCTTTTATTCTTCATAAGCTCCAGTAAATGTTGTCTCGGCTGCATTCACACTGCGAGCCTTAGTGCTCAATTCCGATTTTTGCTCTGATTTTTTGCATAGCTGTTCACAAATTGTTGTTTTAAATGTGGCCAATATCAGATTTACAGTGTGAACAGATCATGGTTCTGAACTGACCTGCATGCGCAAAAGACAAATACGAACAGGGTTTGCAGGTTTTCAGAACAAAATCAGCCCAATTGCTTCTCAAAACTAGTCCAAAACTAGCCCAATTATGTTCAGGGGGGTAAATATCGCATTAGTGGGGTCGCGTCGACCCACAAAGTTGAAAAACAACCCACGGCAACAGTGGAAAAAGTAGCCTAATTCCACGGGGAAACTGTATTTGTAACTGTCATACGGAAGTAAACACGGAGGATGTAAAGTAAATGATTATGCTTTTATTTATAGTGTGATCTGCTGCAGAAGCCAGCGAAATTATTTGAAGGCAATATGAAAAATAAAGACAGCAGTGTTTTGAAACTTATGATACGAGCCCTCATGTTTTGCTTGTAGAGTTGTCACTGTAATACACATGATTTCTGACACATCACACTTCCACTGATTACCTTTTGCAGCTGTCTTGATAACTTTGGGTTTGTAAAATCTTTGAAGTGTCTCCTGTCAGGGCAGAATTATGACGAATGTCGATCTAGAGTGACCTAAAAGTCGCATGAATTCTGATATGACCGTTCACACTGCAGTCGCATTGCAAAACATCTGACATGGATTGGATTTAGTACCACATGTGGAAGTGGCACAAATCAGAACAGAAAAGATCAGATTCCATGCAGTTTGTGCTTTTCACACTGTCATGACAAAAACAGATCTGAGTCACATTGCCCTGCAGTGTGACTTGAGTAGAGACTTTCTACTAGAATCGGCCCATTTCTTGCTTGAAAAAGATTCCAGATCACTGATTATCTTTGGTTTTCACATTGCCACTGCATTCTTCAAATTCCGTCACATTTTAAATTAGATTTAATCTGGAGACTGAAAGGGAAGATGCTTGTCTGTAGTGTTCTTATAGTCTGCACTGAAATGCTGCTTCTTCCTTTCAAGTCAACTTGCAAGTCTTTGGCATTATATTGAGGGATTTCTCAGTTGCACAGATCAAACATTTTATTCCTCCTGATGATCTTGTTTTTTCTTCAACATGTTTAAATGAATCAGGCTGTTAGCTACGTCTCTAGGAACTTTAAGTGTTTTCTTATAGCCATAGATTCTCTAATGTAACAGAACACTTTCTTCTCTATAGCTTTTGTTTCAGCACTTCTTTTGACATTTGCTACTCGGCTTTAACACATGCATGGGTTAAATTTATGCAAGCGTAACAGCTGATGCCAATTAAGTTCTGTTTTAGAGTTTTCAAAGGCACTGTTTTAATGCAATTGAGAGCCCTAACATACAAACAAATGACTTAAAACATTTTGAATAAGGGTTGAATAATTGACAGCTGTATTACAAAATAATTAAATAAACATTGTAGCGTCTGGACCAATCAGACACACCATTTGTCATTTGATTTAACAAATCAATTATGTTATGTATTTTGTGTCATATCTCCTGAACCAAACATGACAACACAGTAAAGGTGATGTCTACCCCTATGTTTTGATGGTCAAGGATTACAGTAGGCGCGTTTCCATTACAGATATGCGCAAAACTTTGACGATATTTTATAAATGTCGATAAAAAAGTATTGCGAAATGACGGTGTTTCCGTTAACCAATGTTATGCGACTAAAACATAACCTTTTGCCTCTCGCGATAAGTCATGGCAACGGATTTTGGTGGGATTTTGACGATATTTATTCAAAGGAGGTGTAT